GGGTGTGGGTGTGGGTGGGGTGTGGGTGTGGGTGTGGGTGGGGTGTGAGTGTGGGTGTGGGGTGTGGGTGTGGGTGGATGTGGGTGTGGATGTCAGAGTTAAGAGGAGACCCACACCCACACCCCCACACCCCTACACCTACACCTACACCCACACTCCACACCCACACCCACACACACCCACACCCACACCGACACCCACACTCACACCCACACACACCCACCGAATTGAGTCAAAAATTGAATTCCTTGAAAATGATGTTTTTATTGTTCTTTTCTGTGCTATTTTATTTTCTAATAGTATTTTACAAGCTCGAAAGCTTTTTTATACTGCTTAAATGAATTTTTGAAAGAATTCAATTTTTGACTGAATCCTGAGGGATACAGCAGTCATTTTTTCGATAAAATAGAAAGTTAACACATAAGATTTAAAAGACACATAGATTGATTCAATTTTCAGCGCTGATTCCAAATATGTTATCACTTTTGACTCAAATAGTAGTTTTCCTAATCAAAATCTACTAAATGTCAGTCAAAATGGCATATAGGATGTCAAATCACAGCATATTGGATTGTTTGTGAATAGAGGTGTAAACCGTACGGCTGAGCCGTCGCTGCTGCCGATGTTTTCGAAAATTTAGTCGCCGCCGCCGTAGGAACGAAGATTTTAAGAATGCCTCAGCCGTCGCCGCTGAGCAACAACAGATGCAGCAGCTGCGCCGCCATTAGTACGAAAAATGTTTGCAATTTTCAGCCGCCGCCGCAGAAATCCGAATGCGAAAATCTTTTTTTTCCTATTTTTATTTGTGTTTTAATGAGGAAATTCCATCTTAACTTTTTCAATTGCCTATGTGTTCGAAAAACTATTGTCGTATTTTTTTAAATGCCAGCCGCCATTTTTTGAATAACTCTCCACCATTGAGAGCTATCGAGTTCGAGTTTTAGCCATTCGATACAGCGGCGCGGGGGGCGTCTATCCACATAAGACTCATTAGATTCAAAGAAGTTTCCTATGGCTATTTTCAAAGTGAAAAATTTTTCGTTCTCTATTTTCATAAGTTTTCATAGCAACCAAGGCTCAAATTACACCAAAATGTAGCCCAAACAGTCCTGTATTCTCGATAAAATTTTCACTTCTTAAACTTGTTTCCTTTCGAGAAAATGATAGAAAGATTTCAAAATTTTATAGAGAATACAAGGCTTTTGGGACTGCATTTTGGTGTAATTTAAGCCTAGGTTGCTATGAAAACTTATGAAAATAGAGAACGAAAAATTTTTCACTTTGAAAATAGCCATAGGAAACTTCTTTGAATCTAATGAATCTTATGTGGATAGACGCCCCCCGAGTCACTCTATCGAATGTCTAAAACCCGAACTCGATAGTTTTCAACGGTGAAGGATTATTCAAAAAATGGCGGCTGCCATTTTAAAAAAATCCGACATTAATTTCAGAAACGAAAACATCTTTCTTAGTGCTAGCAGCTTTGTTTTTTTGTAAAACTTGAAAAGTGATCTATACCAGAGTACATCTGACTTCACATATCATGTCTACATAAGCAGTCGAGAGAACGAACAATAAGAAATGGCTTAATCAATGTAATACTGAACAATAACGACCTTTGCCCATTTTTGTGTGAATGATATAAAGAGCATCAGATTCGTTTTTCTGCATTTACTATTCGAGATGCGCCAGCCGACAATTTGTTCATCTTTTTCTCGTCTCACTTGTGTAATTCAGTATTACTTTTTTTGCGCAGACTTGGGGAAATATTTGTTGAATGATGTCATTTGTCATGTATTTATATTTCAGATCTGGTTAAATATATTTCAAATTCGCAAATAATTTCCAAAATAAAATCATGTAACTTTTTTCGTTTATTGACGATGTAAAGTAAGAAGAATTTAGCTAGAAAATCTTGCTTTTATTTCATTTGTTATCCATTTTAGACGTATGAATAAACGACAGGTATTAATCCTAAATGTCCTATCTTTATAGCATAGTTATTTGTTTATGAATAAATAGGCAATATATCAAGTGCTTTATTTTGGTATGATAATATCCACAGCACTTATGATATGGAAAGGTTTGATGGTAGTAACAGGCAGTGAAAGTCCTATTGTCATTGTACTTAGGTTAGTTTGTTAGATTTTGGCTGAAAACTGATAATGTATCGGGTGATATTTTTGTAGTGGTAGTATGGAACCGGCTTTCTATCGTGATGATCTTTTTCTATTAACAAATTACCAGAAAGAACCAATTCGTGCTGGTGATATAACTGTATTTCGTATTGAAGGTCGAGATATTCCAATTGTTCACCGAGTACTTTAAAGTACACGAAAAGTGTGTTATTTGAAATTTGTTTTTTTTTTAAATAAAACTTTATATTTATTTCTTAATAATAGAAATGATGGCTATGTTAAATTTTTAACTAAAGGTGATAATAATAAAGTTGATGATTGTGGTCTTTATTCTCCAGGACAATTATGGCTTGAAAAAAAAGATGTTATTGGTCGAGCTCGAGGATATTTTTCTCAGTTTGTTTCTGATATTGAATAGATTTATTAGTTTTTAATTTAGATTTCTTGCATATATTGGTATGATGACCATTGTAATGAATGATCATCCATAATTGAAATATGCGGTGTTAGCTATACTTGGTCTTTTTGTCCTTGTTCATCGTGAAAACTGAATATGAAAGAAAAAAAAAGAACTTATTCTCATTTCATTTCATTTTTATTCATTTATCAAAAGAAAAAAAAGAAACGATAGTATTTATTGTTGAAGGTTATTATTATTGTATGAGTCTATTTACAACTGTTTTGTGAAGAAAAAAAGAAAAATCAATTGTTGACTTATCTTTTATTCTTTCAGATAATGTCAAATAAATCTAAATCATCAAAATCTAATAATCAAACAAATAAAACTTTATCTGAATTTGATCGTGGTTCTGTTCAAATTGTTAATCATTTCTCAATATTAACAGACTCGGAAGGGAGATTTCTTCAATTACTTTTTTTTTCTTTACTTGAAGTCCTTTCATTAAAACTAACGGATAATGATCCAATTAAATCTCGTTCTTTATTTCAATTATTAATTCATTCTCTTCAAATTAGTAAAATCCTTCCAATATCAATGAGTTTATCTGCTAATTCAATTCGACAATCAAATCTCTTTCAAAATTATGCACGGATTTTACAAGAAAGTATTCAAACAGTATTAGCTCTTCTTCAAAGACATTTATCATCAGATTGATCGACTATTACTAATATTTTAGAAAAAGATTATGCGAAAGTTTTACTTTCAACACAATCATCTTCAAATATTAGTATTGATATTTCTCAAGCTGATATTCAATTGCGAGTGCCTATACCTTTAACAATCAATGAAACTGTAACAACGAATGATTTTGATAATATTGTTGTTTTTCGTTATGTTCAAGATTTTTATGAAGTTAATAAACTAGGAAAAGGTGCTTTTGGTAAGGTTTTTTAATGACGAAATACTTTTGTTTTTCAAGTTTTTATCTTTGACATAGGTTCAATAGTTCGTGCGAGAAATCGTTTAGATAATCGTATGTGTGCAATAAAAAAAATTGTTTTTAATGAAAATACCGCTCGAACTCGACGGCAAGCAAAACCTGCTTTATGTGAAGTAAGAGTTCTTGCATCATTAAGTCATCCAAATATTGTCCAATATCATTGTGCTTAGCTCGAATTCGTACCTATACCCGTTCAAACATGTACACGTAGAGCATCATCATCACAAATAAAAAAACCTCTTTCTCCAGTTAAACAATTTGATTCTCTTGATGAATTGATTCAATTTGAAGGACAATCTGCATTATCACCAGAAAGTAAAAAGGAAAACGAGGAAGGAAAATCACCACAGAAAAGTTCAACAATATCAACATTACAAGAAGATGATGAAGATGGAAATGAAGTAATAAAATTCTCTCTTTTCTATGGATAAACAAATGTCTATCATTAAAATTCGTATTTAGTCGAATCGGTTAACTGTCATTAGGTTTAAGACTATTTTCCTCTTATAATCAAAAAATTAAGTGACTTATAGTGGCGCTCGAAGTTAATCGCACACTTCATATAAAAATATACTTAAATGTCACAATAAAAAATTGCACGTCTTGTGATTTCGAAAAGAGAGTACATTTCAAAGGTATTTTAATCGTAAAAGCGAGAAAAACTTCATCACAACACTGTAAAAAGTTCTTTTTCTGCTTGAAATCACAAGATGCTCAGTTTTTTATTGTGAAATGTACGTATATTCTTATATGAAGTATACCATTAATTGTAAACGAAATCAAAAAAACACTATTTTCAGTATATTTTATCTGACATAGTAAGGTTGCAGTGGAAAGAGATGATATTTGGTGCAGATAGACTATCCAGTATGAGCTACATTTTGTCAAAAACCGTACCTTAATGCGCTATTTCCCTCTAAGGATATATAGGAAGCGAAGTCATCTCTTGGGTGTACGACCAATTTCGAGTGACACTGTAGATGTATAATATGCTAGTCTGAAATGTCTTATACAATAAGAAACATCATTCTACATGAATTAATTCATGGTCTCGTATCTCTAGAATTCCAAATTCTTGTTGTTTATGGTATTTATTTTGAAATCCTTTTCTCTACTTCAACATTATACAATATACTGAGTTTTCTCAACGTGAGCAGCTTTGAATCTTCATTAACTTTGTCCAATCGAGGCTAACATTTGATGAATAGATGCCTACAAGTCTTTTCCAGAAGTGCAAGGCAGATATGGAACTGGTACCGGTGCGGATTTCAGACCGACCGGTCCGGTGTGACCTACTCAGATCGGTATGGGTACAGGCCGTCAAAATCCCAATCGGTTCCATTTGTGGTGTAAAGTTTAGTTACCGTTTCAGAATGACAGAGTTTTTTAATAAAAAAAATGAAGAAAGATAGATTTATAAAGTCTTCAAAAAACATTTCTAAGATCTGAATTTCATTACACCCGAAAATATTTTTTGCTTCAATCAAATGACATCATGTACAGATTGATTGTTATGAAAAAATCCAACGACCAAAATTTAGTGTTATGTGAATATAAAATTTCACATAAAAATCTTTTTTTTTCTATGTATTCTTTTCTTAATTAAGTCTAATTTGAATTATGTTTAGATATCAGTAGATGGAATAAATAATAAACATTCTGATTTATCAATTCATCATGAATATCATTCTAATGGTGGTAACCGTTCATTATCTTCATCAAAAATGTCTCTTCAACATTCAACATCTTATTGTAAAAGAGAATCAAATAAAGAATTAATTCCAATTCATAATCGAAATGAAATAGTACATTCAATTGTTCAATCAAATAATGTTAGTTCTAAAATATTATCTTATTATTCAAATGCAATTATGTGATACAACATTACATGATTGGTTACATTATCGTGATCAAGCAATTGTTGATGAAACATCTGATGAAAAGAAAAATGTATTCTATTCATTAAATGATTTAGGTCAACGTCAATGTTGGCATATTTTTAAACAACTTTTAACTGCTGTTTAAGTCAAACTAAAACAAAAAAAAACTTTCTTTAATTTTAATTTTTGTTCTAGTATCTTCATTCTCAATCATTTGTTCATCGTGATATAAAACTGAGAAATATATTTCTTGCATATGATCCAACAAGATAGTTCATCTGTTCATGTTAAATTAGGTGATTTTGGTTTAGCTACTTTTTTTATACAGAATTAATTCCTGACTTTCCTGAACCATTTCCAAATGATGAATCAACAGGTGTTGAGACAGCTTTATATGCACCACTGGAACAACTTAATTCAAGTCATTGTATTGCAACACCCAAATCTGATTCATATAGTTTAGGAATTGTTCTTTTTGAATTATTTAATATATTTCCAACTGAAATGGAACGATATTGTTGTTTAAGTAATTTACGTATAAATTCGAAAGTTGATGAACAATTTTCTGAATATTATCCATTTGAAACAACTATTATTGAACAATTAGTATCAATTGAAAGTGAAAAACGATCGAGTCTTGAACGATTGTTATCAATGTTTGCAAAAGTAACTCAACAAAGAATGAAAAAACAACATAATAATACAAAAATGATTATTGAACAATTACGAGCAAAATTACGTGATAGAGATTAAAGAATTCAACAATTAGAACTTCAATTAGAAAAAACTATATTTTAATTTTTATTTCATTAGGTTAATTCTAGAAATAAGTTTAACAATTAAACAGCAACAAAAGCATCAGATTTATTTAAAAAAAAACAGTTCTTCAGTTTTTTTTGTATATTTATTTTCGTAATACAATTCAGAAAATAAACATCGCATTGTTTATTTATTAAATCAGTTGACAAAAATATGTCACCTATGTTACAAGAATTTGCTAAGAGATTAACGTGTACTATATAAACATTACCGATGCTTTTTACTACTGCATGTGCTCGAGAATAATAATAAAAAACCATAGAAATTTTTTGACAAACGATAAATATATTTTGCGAATAGCAAAGATTTTTGTCAATTCTTTAAAAAATCGAGCTGCATCTGATCCTTTCATTGGACACGTACAGCGATCTCAGAATAGATGAACAAGAAACAGACGAATAAATGACAAATGAATTTGATTATAGAACTAATGACAGAAACTATTAACAGTCAAAGAAAACTTTGTTCTGCGAAGAATAATAGTAACATCAGCTTTTCTCTTCATAGATTTATCTTCTAAAAAATTCATCGAAATAACAAAAAAAGTATTTCTTTGTGATTATTATTATGAAATAGTTTTTCTTTCAATACTACTAATGATCTGAGTATTAGTAGATATTCACTTTGTTATAGATTAGATCAATGTTCAATAGATAAACATTCTCGATGATCTCGAAGATTTTCAATATTTTATTATCAAAAAATAATGACAATATAAACGATCAATCGGAAAATTTGTCGAGCGTACTAAACTAATGAATATTTAAAAGGAAATTAACATGTTCATGGTACAGTTTAACTGCATTGAATATGAGAATTAATCATTTTAACTTCATTGAACTTCACCATCAATGTTTATTAGACGATTGGTTTCATTCATTTGAATCGAACTAAATGAAACAAATTTAGATCATCAATGTCGTCTCGAAAATATAAAAAAGGAGAAAATCTAATCATACATAAGAAAGAATCATGCATACTTGAAAGAAAAAAATCTTCATCAAATTTATATGATAAAATTTATGCATTATTAATTCGAGGTTGATCCAGAATGTTTCGAACAATTGTACTTCAGTTTTGTGATAATAATTTCAAAGATTCACATTTAACTGGAAGATAAACCTTTTTAAATATGACTTAGTTTCAATTTAATTCATTTTTATTTGATTTCCATCTAATACTAAATGGATGAAAGATCACCATTTTTTTTTTGACATAGTCAATACGGATCCAAATATCATCTTTGACTTGTTCGATGAAGATTTCTATTTGTTTATTGAATTATATTACAAGATTTGATGTCAAAGAGAAATCATCGATCAATATGCAACAAATGAGAATACTTTCACGTATAGATCAGAGATGTCCATCGCGGCTGAAAATCTGCCGCTGCCGCGCCGCAGACTTAGAAAAAAAAAGCTGCCGCACCGCAGCCGCGCCGCGACGGTTTATACAAAAATGTTGCCGCGCCGCGATGAATTATAAAAAAAACGTTGCCGCGCCGCTGCCGCGATGAATTATAAAATAAATGTGTCGCCGCCGGGCCGCTGCCGCGGCGGTTTACAAAAAAGTGTTTCTAATTTCACTGCTGCGACTATATTTCACCAGAGATATTGGTACTAGTCCATCAGATTCATTCAGTCTAGGGGTGTTTCATTTGTAAACCCTGAAATTCTATTAAATTCATGCAGTTTTTCAATGTTCCCCAAAAAAATCCTGCCGCTGCCGCGATGGTCTTTTAAAAAACCTGCCGCTACCGCGCCGCTGCCGCGGTGATTTTTTAAAAAACCTGCCGCTGCCGCCACCGCCATCGCGGCAGCGGCAGCGGCAGCGGCAGCGCCGCGATGGACATCTCTGGTATAGATTTTGCTTTCAACTAACTGCACATCGTAAGAAAACAATTTTTTAGAGAAAACAATACTCAAATCGAAGAACAAGATCACTTTGTGAATTAACTGATGAATACAACAGTAATAGTCACATTCGATGATCAATTCATAACAGTTATGAAGAATAAGTGAACCTGAGAGGGATCAACTAGTTCTGTCTACATACTTCAACTGAATTTTAAAACTGAATCTTACAGACAAATGATCGTATCATTCTTTTACTTGTTCATAGAAAATAGTCGATCAAACTCCTACAAAAATCTTCATGTATTTAACATAAACTTCATTTTATTTTATTTGTCATGTCCTGCGTTATTCAACTATATATGAGAACATTAATCATACATAGTAGAAAAAAAAAGAAGAAAAATAACAAGAAATTGCACAGATTCATTAATATAACATCAAATAAACACAGATAGAGGCATAAACTAACTTCGTCATGATAATGACCATCACATTGATTTGACATTCTAGAAACAAAGAAAGATTAAATATCCAGGTATTAACTCGAATAAAGAAATATTTACTTTATTTTTAACTTCAGCTTGTTTTAACATCATGAGAATGGTATCGACGTTATCACACAGTTGATTCAATCGAGCATCTAAGTTATCTAATCGCTTTTGGAAAACTTTTGTAGTTTTATTCAGATGCATTTCATTCGCATTAAGACGAGTATCAATCGTATTCAAACGAGTATCAGCAAATGTTTCAACAACATCAAGATGAGTATTGATCGTTTTAATAGAACGATCCACTCGTTTATAATTCTTTTCTAGTGCAGCCAATCTTTGATCCATCATGATGTTCTGATCGAGAGAAAAAAAGAAGTAAATAGTTTTATTCAAAATGACAAGACAAGAAAAGAAAACTGCACATAATCGGATATCATCTTTTATTACCCAGAAGGAGCCATTTCGATCCCAATGGATAAGATAGTACACTAATCCGCTGTTCTAGTCAACATGAACAGTGCAAGACTCTTTTATGCTCAAAAAAGTTCTTATAGAATTTAGAACCTTGACTCAATATAGCGTATCGTGCTCATCTATTCTATGAATTTTTTCTGGAAGAGACTAAGACATTGTATGAAAACAAGGACTACAAAGTCGAAATTACCTTTTCTTCGTCATAAATTGTTATCCATTCGTTTTCATTCATCGATGAAAGCAATTCATTCATTATCAAGAGATCGTTTTTTCATTCAATAATGCTTTCAATCGTTCACAGCTCTCTTTTTATAACCTAACGAACATCTTTCACTCATTCTCTCCCTCTTTGTTCAATTGTTTCAATGAACGAATCGGACGGTGACTTCATCTATTCACATAGATGAACTTGCACGGCAATTAATTATGTAGACGAAAAAAGAAAAAAAATCATTTTTGATGCCAAACTATCAAGTTTATGATTGATTATTCTAGTGAAAGGAAAAAGAAAAGGAGAAATGTCATGGTTGCTCACAAAGTGACAGTCTCAACTTCAAACATGCACTGATTACTGTCTAGTAGTATCCTTACCAAATTTTCTTCATTAGCTTCTTCTTCTTCTTAATCTTTTTGTGCTGCTGCTGCTGATGTACCTTCAGTTAATTTTGAACTAATGTCGATTCGAGTAGATTCAAACTGTGGAATTGCATTGTTTGACTGGATGGGGTGTGGGGGTGTGGGTGTGGGTGTGGGGTGTGGGTGTCAGTGTGGGGTGTGGG